GTTTACTTGTCCGACCAGATGAGGAGTCCTGTAAAAGCCATTCACATGAAGGCAACCCGCTGCTGCCTTGGAAACTAAAATGTATCAAGATTTGGTGTTGCCGTTGTTTACACTTTGACTGGCAAGTTTGTGACCTTCCAAATGTCAACTCTGTCATCGCTGAAGTGAAAAGGTGCCGAAATAAAAAGGTGTAGGAATTCGGGAATACCGTTACACGTTGTTCCTTCTTTGCGCTTTATCATTATGTTGTTATTTTTTTACCCGATGAAAGTACATTTTATTCTTCTTTTTTTTGTGAAGCCTTGGAGACGTGCGAGTACAGCACAGAACAAGCACACTTTTTTTATTTTACTTTTTTTTACAAGAGTGCATTGGTGAACATAAACTTGCTGGTTTAATTTTTGAAAAAAAGTCTGCTAAATGTTGATACAGCTGTGGTGAACCAGCAAATTATATCTTATCACTATTGGGGACAATAAAAAACATGAATCATTATTTTAAAATATTATTATAAAGAAAAAAACATATTTTTTCTTAAATATGTTTTTTCCTACTGATATTGACTAATATAGGCCATAGTTCTCTTTGACATTTTTCAAGTATTTTCAAATTGCCAATTTTGGATAAATTTCAATGTATACTTATTGGACTTGGGGAACAGGCACCAAAAAAGGCAGATCGGACGTAGGTTACATTTACCTTTGTTGGTCTTAGAACACATTTACCAATGGGTCAAGCAAAATTGTAACCAAGTAGTAGTAGTTTGTCCCATTATCAATATCTGAATTTACTTGAATAACAAACAGTACTTGATTGATGTAATTTTTCAGTGCCAAGTTTTTTGCAATTCATCATGGAGTTGCTGATTTTTGTTTTAAATTCATACCCTTGAGGTTTCTTTCTCCCTATATTTTCTATGCAAGATATTATTTCACAGTTGAATTCTCATCTCTTTAATATTAAGCGCATTGTTTTCTACTATTGCGCATTCAACTCCAATGCGGTGGTTTCTTACAGCTTTGAAAGATGACAGACCCATGCCCTTTCTGTATGCTAAAGTCTTTTCAGATCAACAAATGACTGTTGAATGACACTTTTCTGTTTCACAACTTTCTTGGCAAACTCCGCAGCGCTGTCAGGATGAATAATCATGACATCCAGCCTCGGTGAAGTTGTTGGAAAGGAATGCCGGTCCTCGTAAAACGCTCGATTTATGCTACTAGTTTCTGCAAAGGGTTCCAATAAAGTTATGCTCCCAAACCCCCTTAGCTTTAGGTATTTTGACGTGTCTTTCCACCTGCATTTGTCGTACGCTGTAATAAAACAAAATGAGTGGAAATTGTTCAAAATTGGAGGGGACTTGAAGACAAAGAGGGGAAGGAAATGATGGTTGAGCGGTGGAAGATTTTGCTCTGCTGCGAAGATGTTATCACTTAAATCCTTATGTTTCAGCTGTAGTTAAAGACAGTGTTATACAGGCTAGAAGACAAAAACCATCATAATTCTGTAATTCATTTTCATTGAACGTATGTATGTACACCAAAAGACAACACACATGCCAATAATATGATCAGACTAATTATGTAATGACTGAAAAAAAGCTGAAAACCAAAATATATATATATTGATACAAAACAATTGGGGGGATGAGGTAAATATCAACAACGCCATACTTTAAATGGCACAACATTTTATTAAAACATGCTTGCTAACTCTTTTCTTGTTATAAGTATGACTTTCAGAGGTGCGCATTAAAGGTTGTGTGAGATATTGCACATTGTGGGGATATAGCCCTAGATTCTGGTCAAAATGGTGGTTATTATCATGATCCATCCATCCATTTTCTTCCCCTTAATCCATTTCTGGGTCAGTGTGGGGTGGCAGTCAGAGCTGCACCCAGTACACAGAGCACCAGCCCCTCACTGATCCTCCTGCAGGTGGTGAGTCCACAGGAGCTGAGATCTTTCAGCAGGAGATTCAGGCAAAGTGGGGTTAAGTGTCTTGCCCAAGGACACAACGTCAAAATCATCAGAGGGGGTTGTGAAGTAGGTGGGCTCGAACCCACGACCTTCAGGCCTAAAGGCCAATGCTCTACCAACTGAGCTACTGTGGCCCCTATTGTTGTGACGGTGATGACCAAAACCTAACAGGGCAGTTTGACCAAAATAACCCAGTGGTGTTTTGTCATTCACAGAAATATTCTCATTTTAAATAAAAAAAATATCTCATTGCTAAATTATTATGATTCTTCATTACTACAAAATATTCAGCATTTATGCACTATTAATGGAATGCCATGTTTTGTCGGTTTGGAATAGTTTGCAAAGAAAATGTGAACACGGTGAAATGCAGTGACGCTGAGTTTTGCTTTTCAATCAAAAATGAAAATGCCGAGAATCTTCATCAAGCCCACCTCATTTTGTTCCCTTTCACACATGATCAAGGCTTTATGGCTGGTGTATTTAACATCTAGCCACCTCTTATAAAGACTTTTTAAAAAGTTATTAACAAGTGTGTGATGAATTCTTTTCATATTCCAGCCTTCCTTGAGCAATGAAAAGGAAAATGATTTATATTCTGATCCATTAAACACCAGCATTCTGTAAAGCTATGTATTTAGTTGGAATGGAAATGCTTGAAACTGGATTGTAAAACTTCTTACAACGACAGCTATAGGCTCGAAGGCATAGTCTGTGTATTTGGATAAGCCGATTTGAGCATAAGCTTGGGCAGTTTTCCTAATATGGCCATTTGTTTTGATGGTGCGTACCGTTACAGGGGCATATGTGTTGCTAAGATAAGCAGGAGATTCCCCCACGTGTTAAGCCATCTGATTGGTCAATCTAAATGGCTCATATCACAATCGGTTACTGAGCTAGAGGAGTTTACAATAGGTGCCAGAGATCACTTTAAATGGACCAAGTAACAAGATACAAAAAAAATTGTCATTTGCAGTAAAACCATATTAGAAAAACTGTGCAAAACTACCCCAGTGTGCACCAGACAATTTCAGTTCGCGCCTTTTCCAACACACCAGAGCTCTTGCCACGGCGCCATCTAGAAATAAATCATGAAGTCATAGATTTGTTTCAAAAGACATGAATTGTTTTGGTTGAGCTAAATATTTAAATCAATTATGAATATTGTGTTGTTCTGGATTATGAATTAAGAAATGTTGCTTGATTGGAACCACAATTGATCCAGTTGAAGTAAACTGGGTTCACTTTGGACTCAAGTGTTTACATGCCCTTGAATTAGGGACAATCCAACCCTATCACCAACAACTTGCGGGACTTTTCTAAACGGGCTACAGTGTAAAGAAAGCTAGACTTGCTTTAATCCCTGACATGTTTTAGCATAATCAAACAATACTAGCTTTCTTCACACTTCACACAGTAAAAACGAACTTCCTTTAAACGTAAAAAATAATATTCTATCCTCAGTCATCTCTACCATTTTCAATGTAAGATACCACATTTCAGAAAGGTGCCAGCTCAGTTTTGAAGTGGTGTGTTTACATGCGCCAAAGCGTTTCCAATATCTCCTTTGATTTCCTGGGATTGAGCACTTACGGCAGAGGGCTGGATTTGTGGTAAGCTGAAAAAACCAGGACTCGGGCAATTTACATGTCTCTGTGTAATAGCCGACATCCTGTGGCTGACCCAAAGGTTGTGCGCAGCTTTCAACAACTACTTATGGCGAGTTTCCAGACGTTTGTATGCATGGATGCTGGTCGCTTCGTACAACACGGGTCTGTTAAAGATTGGCCCTGTCATTATTGAATCAACGTCAAACAATTCAATGTCCAAGAACGCTCAGAAATTGTGTGCACATGGCCGCTGTTGTCGGACGCAATATCAATCACTTAACTTAGAAAATAGTGTTTTTGTCTCAGCTTTCTACTTTAGCAATTAAAGGGTTAGGGTTATGTATGGATAACTATGGTATTCAGATCCGACCTCTGACGTGGCCTGGTTGTGTCATCTGTTGTTTTGATAGTATTTAAAGCTATGTAGATCGTTCCATATTTTTATTTGGTGACTGCTTTATGTCCATAGAAAGCGCTCTGGCCTCGTTGATTTGTTTACTGCGTGGATCTTTGTCTGAATGCTTTATAATACGCAGTTGTGTTTTATGTTGCCGCAGGCTGTGGGCTGGAGCTTAAATCCTTATTAAGTTGCTTTATTTCTGCTGACTCTTTTACGTTTTTATTTTTTGGCACAAAGGTCACGTCAGATCAACAAACACAAGTCCTCCGTTGTCGTAACTCTTCAGTGACTGTTATTTTTAGGATGCTTGTTCTTTTATGTCTCTGTATTAATGAGGGAGGATGCTTGAGACGATTTTTATTATATAGAGCTGAATGTTAAATCCAAATCAAAACTACCTTTGGAAGTAACTTTTCTCGTCATGGATTGGACTTTTATTTTGTATTATCATGCTCATTATTGCTGATTTTTACTATTGTTCACTTTTTAGACCTATCAATTTTATTTTGCTGCTATTGGACATCTGAATTTCTCCTACAGGGATCAATAAAGTATCTATCTATCTATCAGAACAAAGACACATGTAATCAAATCCATGTCAGTATATTCTTGCACATATGGTTTTGTTATTTGGTATTTACATCCATGCATTTTTGGTCATGGAAAGTGAAAAACACCATGAGGACCACCCTCGTTCAGTCAAAGTGAGGTGTCAAAAAGTGGCTCTATAGGCACTGTCTTACAAATATGCATCCAATATTTGTTCGTACAAGAATAAAACATTATGTTGTCGTCTTCTTTGTTCATACTATTTTACTTTTACAAGAGCTCAGAAATGATAAAGTTAAGCAACGTACATTGAATTATTCAGAAATAGGAATAAGAGTCTCATATATTCTAACCCTGTAGTAAAATACAAAAATCTACATGTTATGAACTTCCATTCTTGTAAATCATTCAGATTCATAAGATTGCTTGCCTTTGGTGCATCATCCATATTCACATGTTTGAATGTTTGACCATGAGCAGCAGGTTTTTCAGACACCAGCCAATCAGTGTAAGGATGTAATAAGTCTAGATAATGTGGAGCTGACTCATTGGTATCACAAAGAACCGCTTTTGCAAATACTGTATAATGTACTGTAGGGGGTGGAAATGCATTAAGTAACATGTGATACCACTGTAATATTTGGTACAGCAAGTACAAGTAAAACTAAGACAAGAAATGTTTGCTGGACGAGAACAGTTAAACCATTGATGAGAGGGATCTCAAGGATATTAATTGATTCCAACCAATCAGGAAGCTGCAGGGTGAGCATGGTCGGAACCAGTGCCTCTCCTCGTGAAGTTTCCCCGTCTCTTTGCAGTTTGATAAATAACCAACATCCATTTATTGCTTATATTTCGTTTTGAGTCTAGCATTTGTTGTTGTTGTTCAGTAAACGGAACTACTGAATCTTGACTTTAATATTCATTGATTCATGTTAAAGAAGCTATACCCGATTTTTTTTCTAAGTAGTTCATAAAAATGTTTTTTACTACATACAATTTGTATCATAATACATAATTTAATTGAAGACTTGAGGTCATTGATTTAGCTGTGTATGAAATTTATGCCGTGAAAAGTGCTGAGTGGAGTCTTAGCGGGACGCTCGTTCTCCTCCACTCACAGAACAAGAAGCGACCAGCCTGCGTCCTCTAGCCTCTACAGCGCTGCTTAACACCAGGGCTTCGACTTTAAAATTCGAATATGATTCTAAAATAAAATATATATATATATATATATATATATATATATATATATATATATATATATATATATATTCGAACAAATATTAGACAGCCCTTATAATTCGAAATGTATTTAATGACTGCAAATAAAATAGTTAGCTCCCAAAGGTTTCACCGGGACGTGCTAGGCAGGTAACAGCTAAGCTAGCTAGCTGTTTCATGGTAACTTCCGGGTTTTTCGCGATCGCTTTTTTGTCATGAAAACGTTGACAGCAAATTCTGAAATCGTCCGTGCATGTGTGTTAAGGATGTATATGTATACTGTATTGTTCGATTAACGTTTAATGGTGTTGATTGATTGATATGTATTTGTTTATTGAGCGTGGCTAGCTCCGCTAGCTTCTCTACACAGACAAGTGTGCAGAGAAACTGCACAATGTAGTGACAGGCGCTGATAGCTTGTTGTACTTGCAAAGTAATGGCAGTATTTTACACACCTGAATTACAAACAGAGATTGCATTGGGGCAGCGGTCATTATTGGTTTGAGAGTTCTGTTATCAACAAAAAATGATCGGAAGAATTGCATTCAAGTCAATGGAGTGTCCTACTGCTGCTGTGAGGAGCTGTATAATACATTCTTATTAAATATTAGACTATATTCTAATGTTTAAATTAATAAATTCGGACACAAAACTAGCGGTATTCTTTAACTTATATATTGTGTTAGCAGTGCATTGCTTTAGTACTATTTCATCAGTGATTGTTGTACAGCTTACAAGAAGTTGTGCTTATGATAATGTTAGCATACCTATCAGATCACAAATAAAACTAGGTGGTTCCGTGTTATGAGAGCGTAGGGGAAATGAGAAGCCTGTGAACGAGGTGGGGGGCGGTGCTAAACATTCAAACATTGCAGAAACGGGTATAGCGCCTTTAATTAGCATTTCTGTATGTGTAAATAAATAAAATACATTTTGACCTAACTTCTTTATCTCCTCTCCATCTGACCACTTATGTTGCGTCGTGGGAACTATCTTTACTTTGATCATTAATTCATTCATTTATTCATCTCCAAAACACGGCTGTTTCCAATAGTCACGCAGACATTCCAGAGATGCCGATGCGAGTGTGTGGGTCTCATTCACTCACAGTGGATCACAGCGGCTGTAATGGAAAAAGAGGGGCTAACATGTTTGTCCAGCAGGTGAAACAGTCGTCATTTCAAGTCTAAATTGAGAGACAATGGTTTTTTTGAAAATCAAAGAAAGCAAGAGCAAAACAAGAGATCTGTTTTTAAATTCTTGAAATCATGAAGATACCAGTCGTAAATGCAATGTCATCGATTTCAAGATGGAAGACAGTATGGTCAAGAAGACAGTATGTTGAGGCCTCACAAAAATGTACGTTTATGAAATAAGAATAAAAAACTTGCTTTAAAGTTGATGACAAAAGTAATTGTATTTTTGAGGAACATTTCGAGGTTTCCAGCATTGTATTCAAGTCCACAAATTGACACATAACACTCACCATGTCTGCCCTACGGTTTAGCATTACCAATAAGGTGAAAACAAAATGAGGACTCAAAATGCACGAAGGCAAAATTATTTGATTTAATGATGGAATATATAAAAGTCCAAGGTAAAAACAAACTCAAAACTCCAAATGGAACATGGGAAACAGGAAAACGGACAAACACAGACATTGAACCGGGAACTAATGGGGTAAGATCACAAGGTAAGACACAATCAATGACATATAATCAACAGGGGAACAGGACAGAAGTAAAACATCAAAAAGGGAACCAAACTAAAACCAAGCACAAAATTAATCAAAAAGTCCACAACATGGCCCGTTCACTTATACACATTCCCATTGATTACTTCATACATTCCTACAACACACACAATCCTCTGTTGACGTCGGAATGTCTGTTTTTTTGGCTCCTCTGGTGCCTTTCAAGACATTTGAACGTATTAGGTTCTGTTTGTTTCAGGATTGCACAAAAACAAGTGAAAGCCACAAGCGGAAGAAAACCATTCATCTATGTTGTCATAGCGAGAGAATCACACACAAACCGACCAAAGACACGGGGAGGCGGCCATTGGCACCAAATAGCAATTACCGCGGCATCGGTCACCTAGTAACCGGGCCCACTGGATGTCATTGTCTCCCAGCGCATTTAGGTGCTTTTTTTTTCTTTTTTTCTAAACATGGATTTTTTTGGGGGTGACAGAAAGGGAAACAAAATTGGCTTCTGAAAGCGGGGAAAAAGTTAGCGTCTTTGAATAAGTTTTTGGGTGAAGCTTCATGAATGTGTGTAGGTCAAAGTGGTGCAAGGGGAGTTTTTTTGGAACGTATCATTGTTGACATTTTTGATTTATTTTGAGAATCCATGCTGTGTCTGGATAATCCCTCACATTTTGCATTGATTCACTAATAATAGGTGTTTGTTTATATTGTCAAAAAATACCTTTACCGCAGGAGTCTGTCTCAAGTTTGAAAAATGTGGTAGTTCTGCATCCCATACAGTTTTAGGGCTCCACTATATCTCATTTTCACATGGAATATCTGAAATAGCGCCTTAATAATGCCTGGTTAAATTTGATTTGTATTATTAAATGTTCTATATATCTGTCTTTTGTCTGTTTTGTCTGTATAAGTAAGTAAGTAGGTCATCTTTATTTATATAACGCCATTCACAGACCAGAGTCACAAAGCACTTTACAATTGTAGTTGGCATTTGTCCTCTCACTCCACATATGGGAGCGAGGTCGCCAGTACAGGAGGCGCAATTCCTGAGCCGTCGTACATATTTTTTGTGGTAGGGGAAACCGAAGCACCCAGAGGAAACCTACGCAGATACGCGGAGAACATGCAAACTCCACACAGAAAGGCTGGAGTGAGGCAGATGCGCTAACCACTGCGCCACCATGCTGCCGTCTCAGCTACTGATGGGCAAGGCGAGCTTATTTGTATAGCACAATTCATTCAAAGTGCTGAACAAAACAAGATGGCATTCAAATCATAAATAATCACAGTACATTAAAAAGAAAGATAAAAATATAAAATCCCTCAGTTGTGTGCATAGCTAAACCGAAAATGTTTTTAACCTGGATAGTCACCTGAAAATCCTTTCATGAATAATGTATTGTATGTATATATACAGTATATGTACATTTAACTGATGAACTAAAGAAAGAAAATTCCCCTGATACATTTAAACAAGACATTTAAACTCATAGATAAATTGCTGTTTTTTGTAGAGTAGAATGAACAGTTGCAAAAAATGAATATATTTTCATCAGGCCAGCTTATTGACCTCCGTTCTTAAATACTCCACAATTATCGCTCAGACACAAATTTGGACGTCGACACATCCCCACTCCACGCTCTTCTCATCAGCATTTATCAGCTTTCAGACCGTAATTAAACTTGCGACCTATTACCATTTAAAAGTGACCCAATCTGCGCTCCCGGGACTCTACGGGCGTATTTCATCAAGCAACAAAGACAACCTATCAAACCGTCCTGTGTTTACCGATTCAAAGAGCAGAGATTCAAAATGGGAAATTCAAAGGCGATGCACTGGATTAATTTGTAATGTTGCTTTATGTCGTTGATTATATGCCGTTTCTTTTATGCACACGGCGCTCGCCACAGGTGCTTTCTGTATGAGGCTGGGATAAAGAGGTGAGTTCGACGCAATTATGTGGGCAGTGTGTAAACAAAAATCTAATATGGTTTAATGAAAGTTGGCCTCAGCTCCTGACAGATAATTTAACGGGGAAATTACTTCATGCATTTAAAGCTTGGGTGCCTAACTTATTTGTTTTATGGATAATATCTGTTATTTGACTCATCACAATGAATCTTGTAAACTGCAGACCATAACACGTTGTCCTTGTGTGTATGTTATACATGTAAGAAAGAGCCTGTGAGTCACTGTTTAATGCTTTGTGCTGAGAGCTGATTGGCTGAGTGAGGGTGGTCTGAAAAATATGATCTTAACATGTGACGAAAATGCATGTGTAAAAATGCATGCATGTATTTTTTGACTGAAAAACTAGTTGTAGACATATGTCATTACATACTAGCTGCATTGTAGCTACATAATAACTATAATGGTGTGGTTTGAAAGTTAGGTACCCCAACTTTATTGATCTCAGAATGGAGAAAATGACATGTTACAGCTGGCTTAGTAGGATCACACAAAAATGTGCAAACATGTTAGAAAAGATAGTATTATTAGTAGTATTTTGTGCAAAAAAGGTATTTATGTACAATTAAAATACCTTTATCGCACAAAATATCCAAATCGCGGTACTATGGGTCTGCCGTTTTATAAAGAACAAATTTTCACCATCTATACATCTTCTAGTGTTTGCATCCACACTTATTTAATAGTTATCTAATTGATAGTATTATTTTTTGTTCACTATTTGTTTTCTTTATGGAGGTTTTGACCACAAGATCACTTGTATTCAACACAAGTTTGAACATTTTTTCATGGTAGATGAAAGAAAGAGTTTGATAATGTTTGGAATGAACCATGGACTAATGGCTTGAACCAACTTTAATTGTAAACTCATGTGCCGATAAATTGTTTTGATTTTTTCTGGGAGTGAAATTTAACACAAGGTATTTGATATATCATGGCTGCCCATAACCTCAGATCAACAATGCTTGTAATTTTGTTTTTCCCATTGTGGGCAACCATAATAAAGAACAAATATTCTGCAGTATTTGTGTTATTTTTGGCCTTTAAACCTACTCTTAAAGATATGTACTTTGCCACTTCTTGCTTTATACTGAATTATATATGAATGCAATAACGTCTTAAGAAGAAATTATAGTAAATGTAGAAAATATTACACTTTTTCAAACTTGACATTGATATTTAACAACGAGACAGAAGCTCTCCAAAAATAACAGTTCCCGCTTTGCCCTTTTCTCGCTGCTGTCAACCACGGACAGTACAGCTCCAGCCAGTCGCTTAACCTTTTCTGAAGTAACATCCAACTTCTTAATAAGTTTGCCTGATTGATTTTCGGACGTGAATTTAGTCCCACCATGGCTCCGAGACTTTGAAGACTTCAGATGCATGGAGCCAATTGATTCGAATGGCCCCAATTAGACGGCATGATTAATTGAGTGTGATTGGATGTGGTCTGCGGTGCGTCGCGGCTAATGTTATTGACGGCCTGTCTAATTGGTTCCCATGGCGACAGATTAAACACTGGCGAGCTTGGAAGACAGTGCGGTGACCCCCGAATCAACCGATCGTGCTTGTTTGGATGGGAGTCAGTAATGGGACCGAACACAGAATATAAGGATGACAATTAAGATGTTGGCTACTTAACTTGGAGATAAACGTTTTTTGTTTTTTTACCGAGACATATTACAATTCTTTCAGCTTTTCAATCTATAAAAGAGCTAAGTAAAAGGGCTGACATCAATCACATTATTTGCCTTATTTCAGAGGAAGCAGAAGCATGTAACCTAGCTAACTCAGGCAGAGAGCCAATCAGGAGCGGCAGTGGTCTGTGGCCTGCTTGCCTTGCTCGCGAGCCGAAGCCGAAATCGGGGCCATTTTTATCTGTATATTTTCTGCATTCTTAACATGAAGTGTCAAAATGAATGGTCTAATTGTCAGGGTAAACAGCCAACAATAATATTTTTTTGTAAATATGTTTTTTTTATTTTTATAATTGTTCTCATAATCACATGTTCTATCATTTCAGTAGTAATGTTTGAAGATGGAAGGAGTAAATAAATCTGTGTCTATGTTGTCATCTTCTCATAGAATTAACACATTTAGAGCCATGATTTGTTGTCTTTTTTGAGTGTATTCAGGTTGTTTCCCTGTTTTGACATTCAATGACTTTATACTAAATCTGCTCTTGCTGCACTATTTTTATCCATTGGAGCTGTTATAAAATGGTGTGAGACTAAAGAGAGGATGGGCTGGAGCTGAACTTGAAGAATAGCTTTTATGGTTAATTAAGTTAATTTCTGTCTGATAATGTATGGTCATGAATCTACTGGTATGTTACTGTTTTACAACAGCCTGGTTATGGACTACAGGTATAAACTAGAAACTTGCAATGGCTGAAGCCATTGCGATTGACTGCGGAACAGATCTAATGTGGAAATCTGCTAAAAAAAATCCTTGAAATCCTTTAAAAGGCCTTGAAACTGTTAAAATACTTGATAGATATTTGAAACTCCTGAAGTCCTTGAAATTGTTGAAACCTTTAAACTCCTGAAATCCTTGAAACTGTTGAAACATTGAAACTCCTGAAATCCTTGAAACTTTTTTTAAACCTGGAAACTGTTGAAAGTGTGGAAACTCCTGAAATCCTTGAACCTCCTGATATCCTTGAAACTGGTTAAATTCTTAAACAGTTGAAATCCTTGAAACTACTGAATGTATTGAAAGTGTCCTTGAAACTGAAAAATCCCCTCACCGCTGAAACAATTTGGTTCCTGTAACTAAGGAAACCTGGTCTGTGGTCATTATCTGGTGGTGGTCTGAGTCTTCGTTTGGGTCTTGGTCTGGTGGTATAATGCAACCTATTAGGTTGCATTATACTGGTTTACATGGAAAAATCCCTATTAGGTTGCATTATACTGGTTTACATGGAAAAATCCCTATTAGGTTGCATTATACTGGTTTACATGGAAAAATCCCTATTAAGTTGCATTATACTGGTTTACATGGAAAAATCTCTATTAAGTTGCATTATACTGGTTTACATGGAAAAATCCCTATTAGGTTGCATTATACTGGTTTACATGTACAAATCCCTATTAAGTTGCTTTATACTGGTTTACATGTAAAAACCCCTATTAGGTTACATTATAGTGGTTTACATGTAAAAATCCTTATTAAGTTGCATTATACTGGTTTACATGTAAAAACCCCTATTAAGTTCCATTATACTGGTTTACATGTAAAAACCCCTATTAAGTTCCATTATACTGGTTTACATGTAAAAACCCTATTAAGTTGCATTATACTGGTTTACATGGAAAAATCCCTATTAAGTTGCATAATACTGGTTTACATGGAAAAATCCCCATTAAGTTGCATTATACTGGTTTACATGAAAAAAACCCTATTAAGTTGCATTATACTGGTTTACAAGGAAAAATCCCTATTAAGTTGCATTATACTGGTTTACATGGAAAAATCCCTATTAAGTTGCATAATACTGGTTTACATGGAAAAATCCCCATTAAGTTGCATTATACTGGTTTACATGTAAAAAACCCTATTAAGTTGCATTATACTGGTTTACATGGAAAAATCCCTATTAAGTTGCATTGTACTGGTTTACATGGAAAAAACCCTATTAAGTTGCATTATACTGGTTTACATGGAAAAAACCCTATTAAGTTGCATTATACTGGTTTACATGGAAAAAACCCTATTAAGTTGCATTATACTGGTTTACATGTAAAAACCCCTATTAAGTTGCATTATACTGGTTTACATGGAAAAATCCCCATTAAGTTGCATTATACTGGTTTACATGAAAAAAAAACCCTATTAAGTTGCATTATACTGGTTTACATGAAAAAACCCTATTAAGTTGCATTATACTGGTTTACATGGAAAAATCCCTATTAAGTTGCATAATACTGGTTTACATGGAAAAATCCCCATTAAGTTGCATTATACTGGTTTACATGTAAAAAACCCTATTAAGTTGCATTATACTGGTTTACATGGAAAAATCCCTATTAAGTTGCATTGTACTGGTTTACATGGAAAAAACCCTATTAAGTTGCATTATACTGGTTTACATGGAAAAAACCCTATTAAGTTGCATTATACTGGTTTACATGGAAAAAACCCTATTAAGTTGCATTATACTGGTTTACATGTAAAAACCCCTATTAAGTTGCATTATACTGGTTTACATGGAAAAATCCCCATTAAGTTGCATTATACTGGTTTACATGAAAAAAACCCCTATTAAGTTGCATTATACTGGTTTACATGGAAAAATCCCCATTAAGTTGCATTATACTGGTTTACATGAAAAAAAACCCTATTAAGTTGCATTATACTGGTTTACATGAAAAAACCCTATTAAGTTGCATTATACTGGTTTACATGGAAAAATCCCTATTAAGTTGCATTATACTGGTTTACATGGAAAAATCCCTATTAGGTTGCATGATTACACTGAAGTCCTTGAAACTGCTGAAGTCCTTGAAACTGCTGAAGTCCTTGAAACTGCTGAAGTCCTTGAAACTGTTGAAGTCCTTGAAACTCTTGAAATCTTGAAACTGCTGAAATCCTTGAAACTGTTGAATCCTTGAAACTGTTGAATCATTGAAACTGTAGAAATGTCTGAAAGAGCTGAAGTCCTATTAAAATGCATGGGCCTATTAAAATGCATTGCAGAATTCTCAATGCAGATTTTTGTCCGATTGCGGAAAAACCGGAAATCGCTGAAGTCCCAAAAGTAATAGCAATAATCTCCCAAACATGTGGAACGTTTTGATGTATAACTTGTGGAAATTGTTGAAAATGTGAAAGCTGTGAAACGTGTCAAAAAAAATGACGGAATAAAGAAATACAAAACCAATGGTTGACTGCGGAAGGTTCCGCAGTCAATCAATTAGCAACCTGATACAATGCATCTTTCCATGTGAAAATAAAAATCTTACCATACTTGTCAAAGCCGAACGGTGCACAGTTTTTTCCTGTCATGTAAATTTCATTACGCCACATTACATTATGCATTGACTTTCTGAGACTTAACCTGTGTTCTGTTGTGTGTCGCAGTGCCCCCCGGGGATCTGACCATCACGTGCCGCTCCAACACATATCCCAAAGGATTCTACTGCACCTGGACACAGCTGCACCGGACCTTCATCCCCACCAACTTCGACGTGGACGTGCAGTAAGTGCAAGATGTCACTGTGGAACCTATACTTTTGAACTATTTGTGACCAATTTTGTCACATAAGACAAGAACAAACTCACACTGGTTCAGGACTACAGCACAAAGGAGAAAAGGAAAAATATCAACCAGAATTTGAAAACCAAAAATGAAACTCTGCAATCCATTACGCTGCTCCTGATCGATTGTGATTTTGCTCACACTTGTTGACTTTATTAAAACTGTTCACAGCATGCATCCCCCATTTTCTCTGAAACGCCACCAATTAAGATAAGATAAGATAGACTTTATTGATCTAACACAGGAGAAATGTACATGTCACATTTGGCATGGATAGAATCACTCAGATTTGTGCAAAAGACAGAAGTGTGCAAACATGTTAAAGGCAAAAAATATAGTCTTTCAGGATATATTATGTACAATAGAAAAAAAAGCAATTAAAGAAACAGTGGCAATAGTAGTGCAGATTTTTAGACCTAGTGCAAGTGACTGAAAGTGACTTATTGTACCGTCTGACAACGGTGGGGATAACAAGTGGTTAGAGGCCCACCAAATGATTCTGAACATACAAGCTTTCATGTTAAGAGATTATTTTAAAGCTGATTTTACTACTGTTCATCTGGACAAAATCACACAAAGACATAAGTTTGAAATTCTTATTACATAATGCTTGATGAGGCTTATTTTTTTTTAACAAATAAATAGTTTATTATGTATATTATTGTAAATATGATATTGTATATCGTGGCAAAGCGAGGAGCGCGACTGCAGGAGGAGGGCTCAGGCCTGTTCGAAATGTCTGAACCCGTTGTGAAGCTGAGACTCTGTAGTTTTTGGCCTCTGATGACTCATTTATTTTCATTTTAAGCTATAACAATCTCTGCACATAGGAAAATCACCTTTTGAATCCAGACTAGAGTTTCTTGGTAAATCATAAGAGGACTGCTGTCTGAGGAATTTTCTGACAGACAATAGAAGATGTCGGTCAAATGTAAAGACTTGTAACAAAGTTGAAAAAAGTAGCTTGGGCAGAATACTTTCAAAAATCAAAAATATAAAAAAGAATATGTCCTAAGCTTAGTGCATATATCCCTCCCATGACCAACTCAACTTCATATCATGGACAAACAATGACATTATTTTTGACGGATCTATGTGGTACGATCTATGTTTCATGTTATCACTTAAACCATCTTCAATTACATCCTCAACATGTATTGACCCGAATGCTTAAATCGTAGATCTATTACAAACAATTTCCGATAATATCAACACATACTATGGCCTATTTTTTTTGTGTTCCCACCAAACATCTGTGGTTCATTCATTTTAAGCCCTCTCCACTTTCTCTCTGCTTTTGGGAGTAGATATGAAAGAGTGACCTTTACAGCCCCCTGCTGCAGTGTCCCTGTCATGTTTAGATCAGAGCACACAGCAGGTGGACGCACCGACACCATTCACTTTGAACTTAGCAAACATTTTATCTGGATTTGAACTCTTTGAACTCTTGAAACATCATTCAGTGAGTTTCCTTCCACTGATCCAATTACCAAACTCCTTAAAGCCACGTTTAGATGGAGGCGCAGTGCAGACTTTGCAAAGTAATTAACAGAAACGACCAGGTATAAGTTGACGCGTGAAAACAATTTAGTTTTAGCGCCTGGCCAGTAGTGGGCAGTGGAACTTTACGACACAACACACGCAACCCCCAGAAGTATATTGACTTTCTCAACAACATCCTCCTCAGGCTATACCGCAAAGACGTGGAAGAATGCATCTACAGCTTTCCGTGGATATATTTTGACGTACGTAAGAATAGAGTAGAATTCTCCTTTGCGTAGCGCTCGAAGCACACATAGTTTGTTATACCCGCCGCCATTGTTGTATGCTTTTGTTCTCGGCTACTGCGCATGTCAAAATGTACGTGCGGGGAAGTGGGAGTCAGGGCAGGCAGAGAATTGAGCTGAAGGAAAAGCCATACTGATATTAGAAATGTAAACATTTGAAAAGCTATCAATTCCCTCGTTTTGATCATTGAATCAAAGAACCTTTTTGACCCTGTCCGAAAAATCAAATGGTCAAAACAAAAATTCTTTGTGATTACACTTGCTTAAAATACAATCTATTCATGATAAATATTCTATTAACAATATCTGCATAAGTGGTCAGACTGGTTTGAGAGCAGAGCCTATTAGAGTCCCATTTCTTTTAGCATACTCATGCTTTGTATACTCATTGTTCCTAGTCGCTCTGAATATGTTCATTAACCCTGGTAGTCGCACTATTTACCATGTGTTAAAGCAGCGAGTTATGTTCCGTAGAGAACCGTAGAACAAGAGGACAGCCCTCAAAAGTGCTATTGACTTACCCCTTACCCAATTTCACCTTACCTGAAAGTTAGCTAGTGCCGATTCCATTTAGCATCTATCTATCCTGTGTGTTTCAGACATAACCAGCGCTCTCTGGAGGTGCAGCCCGACCCATTCCACAAGAACCGTTGTCACGTGCGCTTTCCAGAGGTGTTCTCCAGCTTCCTCTACCTGGTTAACATCACCGCCATCAACAGCCTGGGAAAGGCATCTACCATTTACTCTTTTGAGGAGTCCAATATAGGTAAGTACAATAAAGGTCAAGATATCATGTGGTCACTTACTGTATGCAATGACCAAGTTAAAAGACATCGTAAAACACACACAAACTTATTTTTCATTCTTAAAAAAATACATGTTTGTCCTAATAGAAATAACAGGCAAAATTGTATGGACAATTCTACTCACAACAGACTTAGTAGAAAAAATGTTATCGTTTGCCCTTTTTTTTTTTTTATTACTTTACCAAGACAAAAGACAACCTCAAAATCAAGCCATTATCTTTGTGGAAAATGTAAAATGAGGAATTCACAATGTTATAAAATGGTGCTTTTATCCGCAACAAAAGCTCAAATGCAAGTATGTGCCCCGCATGTGCCAATAAAGAGAATTTAAAACAAAAAATGAACTTAGATCAAGGCTGAAACTTCAACATATTCCCTCCTCAGCTTTCTACAACCTTGCATCACGTTAATGCATCCACTTTACCCTCCAGTTCATTTGACTCTTTATGAAAACACACTTCCACCCAGACTTCAATAAAAGACAAATGGAAATCTCAAAAAGCCAAATAAATGACATGGGAGCGTTGCGAAAAAGTGCAGAGCGTCCATTTGATGATAAACCCAGCGACCGACGTTATTACCGAATGTATCATAAAAAACCATATTTAATGCTCGCATAACAGCACAGGGGCTTCATAGCTGCAAATCAACGCCCTCTTTAAAACTCAAACTGCCAAAGCTAACACCGTCCTTTATGAACTAAGCCGAGAGCAGTTGTGTTGCGCAGGAGGGACTTTTAATAATGACGCTGGCTGCTCTTATAGAAATGATAACTGGAAAGCAGTGAGGGGGAAAGGAATTCATTTTAAAGTAGGAAGTGGGAGAGAGGCGCAGGGAAAGATAAGGAGACTTTTTGTTGCGGTGAAGTGGCCTGATAGCGACGAACCACGGTGTGTATCCAAATCATCCAAACCGTGGACACAGCGCTCATGAAAATGCTAATGCTATAGCCGGATTAGCGCCGTGGCTCAGGAAATACCCCTAAAAATAATATAATATGATTGATAGAAAAACTTTGGGTTGTGTATTGGAAAGCATGATGAGACTTATTATCTAGAGCGACGCCAGGCATATGTGTGTTTCTATGTTGCTCCATCTTTGACATATCAATCATTTACTTGTATAGCACTATTTGTGTGCAAGGCAATGCAAAGTGTTTCAAAAGAGCAATTAAAAAGACATCAAAATGTATGAAAAAAAATGGCTTCAATGTGTCTTCAATTTTCTGAGTTGGAATAGTTTGATTCTCTGACCTGTTGTTGGCAAATCAATAATTTTGTTCCTAGTTTTAGGGCTATACAAAAATGAATGGAATTGAATGCTTGATAGTATGCCATTATAAGTATATCTATTCAATGTTCTTTTATTAGGAAAAAAATATGTTTTTACGTCATTTTCCAACTAAAAATTATTGAATCCCTTAAAGTTTCTCGCTGTCAAAAAAATGGGTTCCATCACTAGTTTTCACATTCATGTATTTTTGGCCTTTGTCACATTTGTAGATCTACCACCCTCACTCAGCCAATCAGCTCTCAGCCCTAAGGTTCAAATAGTAAATCAAAGTATGCAAAAGATACAAGGTTTTCTAATACACTGCTGTCAGGTGATTTTCTCACAATCTTTATAAGTTGATTGTCTTCAAAAATGATTTACTAATGGAAAAAAGCTGATAGTGTCTAAGAAAAAAAAAAAGAAAAAATGGACTACAGCAATAAATTACCCAAATGAAATGAGGACACAATGCTACAGTGCTTGAAATAAAGCAACATTTCACAGGCAATAAATGACGTGTTTAGATTTTTCTAACAGTATGTCGGGCCCTTTCACAGATTAGGCCTTTAACACGCCCTTGTTTCGTCTCCATGGAGATATTTGAATTAGTCATATTGCCAAAACTTTCTCAACAAAAGAGAAAATGAGAGTTTTTTTAGGTTTAATTCATCTGTCGTCACACCTTTTGGTCTATTATCATGGTAATGTTTTGATATTATATTCTCAAACCAAAGCTGTCATGCATCTTGAGTTCAAATGCAGCTGTTGTTGTGGTGGGTGAGCCTAAATGCTTTCTGCTCATTGATCTGAATTATGCACTTTTCTCCAGAGACTGACTTTGAAAACGGTTTTGAAACGACTCGAAAGTCATCTTTATAGTTCGAGAATGTGCAGTATATTATTACACAGAGCTTTTAAATTTTATTTTTTTATTTTTTTTCAAACAGATTGCTGGTTATCAATGTCATCAGCTATTGTATTGGAAAAAAGACAGTTATACAGAAGGGTGTGGGTTAAAACATATCAGATGCAATATATCTTTATATAGTACACACATTATAGAATATAACATGTATACATTATAATACATAAAACAGATTGGGCTTTTCCATATTATTATATGCATGGATCATTATTGTATGTGTTGGGAAATTGTGGTGCAAACTGTAATGTAGCCGTTCAAAGGTACATGCATGTTTGAGTTTATCTTAAGCCCACATCCGCTGTATTTACTTGTTTGCTAATCTTTACTGTAATGCAAGCTTCCTATAGTCAAATTCATCATAATAAAATAGTGAAGCTAATTGTCAACTTAATCATTAGTCTGATGATAAAATGTATGAGATAGTTTGTATGTTTTCCGTGTGTCTGCTTAGTTAATCGCTAAAAACATGTACTAAATATAAAAAATCTCCAGCTCCGGTAGTCTTAACCAAGCTGGAGACAGATAGCTCCACTGTCGCATCCACTGCTCCGGACAAAAAATGTAATGTTTGGGCTTAACAGAGCTGCAAGCAATGAAGCCTTATAAGACGGGTGAAGCTCCCGTTTAGCTCCATTCACTTATATTAAAAAGTAGACACGTCTGTTTGTGTTAGACTCAAAATTCTGATTCAACACTATGACCCCTGCATTTCTGATTTGATACTGCTTTTGTAAATCCAGATATGACCAGGGAGGTAGGTAACCAACTCTTTCTATCCTCAGCTAGCGAATACCGTGAAGGGAACAAAGCAGCCTCTCTGCTGGGCTCTATGGTTGCTAGGACGTTGCTATGAAAGAATTTTACTGACAATTCCCGCCCCTGGTGCCTGTTTAGGTTAGCTCTTGTTAGCTTCTTGTGGGATAAGCCACAGGTCAGAACTCAGTCTGCTATTATGATCTATGACACAGTGGGGTCAAGTTTTCTCACATTCTTCACCACAGAAAACCACTGACTTTAAAAACGTTTCCTCTTTCCTTTCTCTTCTCATTGTTAAAAGCCGCCCTCGTGCCACTCCGCTACGCTTAGGGACAACCAGGCAGATCGTAAATAAATAAAACAATTTCATGCTTCTCAGGCGCTTTTGAATGCCGAGTGGGAGTACCATACGCCACTGTCCTTGTTCAACCGAGCAAAGATAGAATCAAATTAGATAAGATCGTGTTTGTGCTGTTAAATGAACGGCTGTGGCTTGTTGTTCGGAGCAAAGTTTGAGAGCCTCGCAATCACAGACATTCGTTAGTGAGATTACGGAGGCCAGACAAAGACATTCCACCAACGTAAAATAATTAGCCTGATTTGTAAAATGTGTTGTTCTGCATTGCATTGAACAATAGGGATCATCAATGAATCAAGATGTTTATTTCAGAGCTTGAATTACACACATCAACATTTTGACCAGTTCTGAAACATCTTTGAATGGTGGAAGTGTCGTTGTAGAGCAATTGGAAAAGGCCTATTTTAATGATCATGCCACCACCTGCATGTGAAAGCTAGATCATGTCAGACTTTTGAAGCCTGGTGAGTATTGTGTTGGGAGACCTAGAATGAGTTGTGAATGGTTAAGCATATAAACAGGGTCATGTGTTTTGGCAACATAATAAGATGAATCACCAACACATGTCAAGACTATTATTAAGACTTCTATAACAAAGGACGAAAATAGTATTTCTGAAACGCAGATATTTGCCTGAGTTCTCTCTTGATTCTCGGCTGTATCCCTCTAATGCATCGGTTTTATATAGCGCTTTTTTGGACACTCAAAGACGCTTCACATGTGTCATTATTCTTTCACTCCAAGCACAGTGGTTATACACTACTACGACAGAAGCGAGGCAACAAGTATGTGCCATCGGCCCCTCCGACCACCACCAACCATTCACACACCAGGCTCATTCTAGGCAATGGGGGTGAAGTGTCTTGCCCAAGGACACAACAGCAGTTTGGCACTTTACAGCCGCAGCCGCCCCACTGTGGCTGGTGTTCCCAGAGGTTAAGTGCCTTGCCAAGGACACAACGACAGCAGACAGAGGGAGTTGGTGATGAAAGTCTTGAGGTGGGCTCGAACCCACGACCTTCTGGCTCAAAGGCCAATGCTCTACCAAGCTGACCTTTACATGCATTTCCTGGTATTGTGCAGCTGCAGCATTTATATAGATTTTATCAAGCAGCTCTATCAAAGATGTGTCATAATTGTGCCTATCAGCTTTCCATTGTGAGGTAATGCATGTTTCTGGGTGAATGAGAAATCCAAGTGGTGCGGCCTTCCCCTGGGCCAGTGAAATAACAAAGTGAGGTCATTCAATATCTCTACAAAGGCCTATAATTGAAGGCCACGTGCGAGTGGTTCTCAGATTGACTGTGAATGGTATTTTTCTGTAGGTATTTCTTGAGACTTCAATGGCTGACTTTTCTTTCTCAGATGTGGGGTTAGAATAGTCTTGCCAAGAAGGTCTCAAAGAAAAATGGTAAATGTATAAAGTATATCCTGCCTTGACTTGATTACTGGTTTCTTTTTGCTCAATATCTTAAAAAAAATAAATAAAGTGCATTCTTACTGTTACTTACAAGATCACCTTTCCACAGACATGTAACTTGACCTGGCGGCGTCATCTGTCTACAGTACAAGCATAGATCAGATTAGGAGAATAATTTAAAACTGGTATGTGAGCAGACGTGTAAGAAACATGTTTAAAATGGTCCAAAATGGTGCATTTTAGGGATTGTTGCTTAAGGCAAGGCAATTTTATTTGTTTTGCCCAGTTCATACACAAGGAAACTCAAGCTGCTAAACAATAAGACGTAAAAACAATCACTAAGTCAATAAAGTCATGAAGAATCACAGTACATTAAAAAAGAGTGAAGATACAGTCTCTCATTTGTCTGCATAGCGAAACAGAACTGTTTTTACCTGGATTTTTAATGTCAGAGTAGAAGCCTGTCTCACATTTTGGGAAGACTGTTCCAGAAAGAACTGGGCAGACATATGCTAACATGGACAGTTACAGTTGATTGGATATACAACTAATGCATCATACGATTCTTATAAGCCGGGTGTTTTTTGCTTCCATTTGTTTACATATCATTATGAATTAGGGGCCATATCTGACTGAACTTTGGAAAACAAATCAAATTGAATTGATTGTGTAAGAAATGAATTTGAATTGGTCATACACTGTAGAAGGATTGGACTAATTGAGACAGTGATGGCGTTAGCCTTAAACTCAGGCATTGATTCTGGAGCCAAATACGGGGGTAGCAACAACCTAGCAACCAAAGAGCCAATCAGGAGTGGCGTTGATGTGTTTGGTGACAGAGCTGTGTGGACCACAGAGTGAAGGTTGACCTTAGAAGTGGTATTTCTCCGTTGTAATACCTTGCTCTCTATTTCTTCTTGTACAGTGAAACCAGACCCTCCGGAGCGCGTGGTGGCCACCCCGGTTAGGAACAACCCTCGCAGGCTGGAGGTGTCCTGGAACAGCCCATCCACGTGGCCCGAGATCAACAGCTTCCCCCTCAAATACTTCCTCCGCTACAGGCCCCTCATCCGGGAGCAGTGGCAGCATGTGAGTCCCCCTACTATCATCTGTGTTTGTGACGGCTGTGGTTTGTTCAGATTTGAGCTTGGACTTTGATTGGAGATCATTTTGATTGTGAATGATGCAATTTCACTCAAAATGATTAATGCATATTGAATTGGAACAGATTGGAATCCATTTTGCTCAGCATTATATTTGAAATTAAAGCAGTTAAACTACAAATGCTGAAAGAGCTGTGGTTTATTGTTATGATTGGTAGTGGCATAAATTTCAGACAATATTATGCTTCCCAAATGTATAGTACAGAGACCATGTAATATGCACTCCTAAACACTGATTAC